TTGGGCGCCAGCCCCATATACCAAAGGTGATGGGTTCAAACCCAGCCCTCTCCAAAAACTGCAAAAAAAAAAAAAAAAGTTGAAGATTAAAGAAAGATATAAAGAGCTTTGACCTCTTTTGTTTGAGGTTTTTGTTTAAGGCCTTTGTATACTCCTTGAGTACAAGTGTAGCAAAATAATAATATGGGATCATGGTAACACATTTCACACATCAATAAGGAATAGGTCATACATGTACACTCTGTCCAATTATATTTATTTTGAGAATTTCTGTGAAAGCCAAATTTTCTTAGAAAATGTAAGAATCCAAGTATACCAATATTTCCCAGTTTAATTAAGTTAATTAATATTTTACAGAGATTGAGAATATCTTCTCTCATTATAATAGTTTCATCTGATTTATAAGAATGTACCAGAATATATTATTTATGTCTAGAGTGGTAGTAATGGGGTATGGAAAAGTTTTGCCTTTCTTTCTTTTTTTTTTTTTTTTTGAGACAGAGTCTCACTCTGAGTGCCATGGTATCATCAAACCTCACAGCAACCTCAGCTCCTGGGTTCAAGCAATCCTCCTGCCTCAGTCTCCTGGTAGCTGGGACTACAGGCACCCACCACAACTCCTGGCTAGTTTTTCTATTTGTAGAAGAGATGGGCTCTCACTCTTGTTTAGGCTGGTCTCAAACTCCTGAGCTTGAACAATCCTCTTGAGCCTCCCAGAGTGCTAGGATTACAGGCATGATGAGGCACTGTGCCTGGCCTGGTTCATAAGTTTTTAATGGCAAACTTTTAAGGGAGCACAGAAAGGAGTTTTCCTTTCTAAAATAGGATATCATGTTATACACCAGATAAGACTGAAACTTTTATTGTTGAAAGGTGGGAAACATGGCAAGAACCTCTAAGTTATTATGTATTACATTTTATTACAAAGTTAGAAAGCAAACAGCTGGGCAATGTGGTGAGCACCTGTAGTTCCAGCTATTTGGGAGGGTGAGGCAAGAGAATGGCTTAAACCCAAGAGTGTGAGGTTGCTGTGAGCTGTGATGGTACAGCACTCTACCCAGGGCAACATAGTGAGACTCTGTCTCAAAAAGAAAAAAAAAAGGGAAAAAAGAAAAAAGTTAGAAAATTTAAATGTGTTTCCATTGTGACGTCTGCACGGAGAAAAAAAGGGTGGTATGGGCTGCTGTTGTTCCTAAAACTTTTGCTGCCATTAACCATGGGAAAGGAAGATGAACAAAATAAACTATTTAGAAAAATTGGAGTTTAAGAGTAGTATGAATTCATAGGAGAAATACAGTGGTAGCTAGAAAGGGGATAAGTTAACAAGTTAGGAAAAGTTTGATGGCAGGAAGAAAATTGTAAGTTAAATTCTCTAGGGAAAGAAAATAAAGGTTGAAAAGACAAAAGACTGAGAATTAGACTCCCTCAGATACCCTCATCTTTTTTTTTTTTTTT